TGTCCATTAAAAACAGCTGGAACTTTAAAGGAAGGCAGGCAAAAATATGTCCTGTTCAATCCCGTGACCCAGGGCCATCTGCATTAGTGGGACTCTTCTGAAGTTTCAGTTTGCACTATTAAATCTTAAAACTCAACCTGGCTGTTTCTGGCTGGTGAATTTGCATCTCTGGGGCTGTGTTTTGAAACTGTCTTGTCTCTGCATGGGCTTCAGCACCTGCTGCCTCACTGCAGAGCCACAGAGGCAGCACTGAGTCAGGGACTGGGTTCTCCAGCCTGTACTGGGGGATTTACCCCACCTGCCTCTGGCTCCCTTGGTGTCCTGTGACAATTCCAGCCTAGCTGGAGCTGTGCAGTGCCCTGCTTGCCTGTGTTTGTGTGCGTGGCTCTGTTTTAACCAGCCCTTGTTTGGCTTTGCAGAGGACAGCTTCGAGGTGACCAGAGCTGCCATGTGTCACCTGGGCATCGAGCGCTCCACGCAGAGCAATGTTTTCAAGGTCAGGTACAGAGAGGGGACACCACGGGGCTGCTGGGGGGGTTTGGAGTGTCCTCCTGCTGTGGGATTGCTGCAGAAGGAAACCTGTGTCCGTGCAGAGCATGGGCTGGTTGGTGCTCCTGCAGCAACACGTGGGGTTGCACAGCCAAATATTAGATCTTAACTAAAAGCCTCCACCTGTGAACTGCAGTTTTCCTTCAGGAATTGCAGCACGAGGGACTCACACAGAAGCTTGGAATGTGTTTGCTTCTTCTGGTGCAGAAATGTTTTGACTTGTCCTGTTCCTGGGGTTAAGGAAGGCTCAGAGGACACTGACTTGGAGGGGAGCTGTTTTAAAAACCTCAGTTATTGATTGTGTTTCAGGTATTGTCAGGCCTTCTCCACCTTGGGAACATCCAGTTCTCTAATCCAGTGGATGAATCTCAGCCTTGTGACCTGGAAGACAAAACCAAAGGTGAGGCAACAACCATGCCATGCTCCAGGGAGTCCTGTTATCTCAGTGCAGATGCCTGATGGAAAGGATTACTGCACCCTTCTGCTGATATAGACTATCAAGGTCATGAGCAAACCAAAATTTAAGCTTGTTTTTGTGAGTAAACAAAACTCTAATGCTCCCCTGCTCTGAGAGACAATATCCTTCTGTGACAGGTCAAGGCAACTTCAGCATCAGTCAGTGATTTCAGCAGGATTATTGGCAGAACTGTGACTCTTGATTGCAATCTTACCCTGACATCACAAGACTTTGCAGAAATCTGAGCCAGAGTGGAGAGCAGGGCTTTTAACATGAAAGCTTTGAAGTTTTCATGATAAAGACTTGAACTGAGTAACAGATAATCTGTTAAAATTGCAGCATAAATAGAGGTGGTTCTGCATGTCTTTAGGAGGCTTGTGGGTCTAGTTTTCCTTCAGAACCAAAACTGTCCTGAACAGTGAAGTTTCCTACTAGGATTTCACAAGCTCTGTTTAATATTAAATTGTTTTTCATACAGCTCAGCTTAGCAAGATCTTAAATACTTTGTTAGCAAATACTCATTCTTCTACATTTTCTGGTTTTTTCCCTGTTTTTTTTTCTGGCCATGACTGATTTGTCTACCTGGATTTCAAGGTCTCTGCTCCAAAAAGGTGAACAAGTAACAAAGACTAGAGAGACTCTATAAAAACACCAACTTCAGTGTGGCAAACTTCGGAATTGCTTAGTATTGCTTCATTTTAAATAGAGTACCTGAAATTCTAGGGGAACTCTACATCCAAATTAAGAGTCTGGTCTTGCAAAACTTGCTCCCAAGTTTGGGCAAAAAAGATCCAAAGTCCACATTAAAGTTGGTGAGCTCATGGAAGTGTCATTTTCCTACACTATAGACCTTCCACAGCTTACAGGATCTGCATCCAGGTAACCTGGCACTGTTTGTCCTCCTGAACAAGGCTTTGTGAAGACCACTGGAGATCTGCTGAAGATCCCTGTGGAGGAACTACTGGAATCCTTAAGAATTCGGACAATAACTGCTGGGAAACAGCAGCAGGTGTTCAAGAAGCCCTGCTCCAGAGCTGAGTGTGAGACCAGGAGGGACTGCCTGGCCAAAGTCATCTACGCCAGGTACGGCCGTGGTGAGGGAAGAGGGAGGCCAGAGGGATTTACTTCCCCTGGCTTTCTGCTTGGATTCCATCACTGTAACCCTCCCTTCCCCTCTCAACACCCCTTCATTCTGCTGGGCACTGGCAGAGAATCCTTCAGAGTGCTGCTGTTTCGTGCCAGAGATTTCTGTTCCTTCCAAGTGACACCGACAGGAACAGCAGGATAAGAACTCTGCCCTGCAAGCAGCTTCCACCCAATCCCACTGTCATTGCAGGTTGTTTGAGTGGCTCGTTCTGGTCATCAATGAGAGCATCTATGCAGATCCATCGGTGTGGACCAGCTTCATAGGTATGGATATTCCATATTCCACCCTGGTTTCACTGGAAGTCCTTCAAGCTGCTCCTAGACTAAAGCTCACTGTCTTCCCACGTTCCTTCTAGGCCTGCTGGATGTTTATGGTTTTGAAGCCTTCCCTGAAAACAACCTGGAACAGCTCTGTATTAACTATGCCAACGAGAAACTGCAGCAGCACTTTGTAGCACACTACCTGAAGGCACAGCAGGTGAGACCCCACCAAGAGAAAAAAAATCTAATTTTAAAACAGCATCTTTTGTCACTTCAGTTGTATTTATTTCTGTGCCTCTGGTCAGATTGCAACCTTCAGGCAGTAAGTAATGCCACAGAAACCAGTGGGATGTAACAGTGGCTTTTTAAAGAGGAGAGTGTGGGGCAGTTGGTGGAATGACACAGCTTTCTGTCTTGGGGACTGGAAATCTGTTCCCTGTTATCCAGCTCCACTGTTAAACTGTGCCTGTTAAACTGTTTGCTTTTCCTCAAAGAGCTGAACACTTTAAATTCTTGAGGTAAGTGCAGCCTAGAGATTCTCTTGGAAGGTGCTGCTCATAGCCATGTTAATTCTCTTCCTCAAGCACAGAGTCCCAAAAAGAGTGGGGAGCTCCCAGACTGAGCTCAGTGTGAAGGCAGAGCCCAACAGACCCCTGTCACCCCAACACCCACGTGGTACCTGTGGAGGCCTCCTGCTGCAGGGGAGCAGCTCCATGAACCAGCTGCTGTGTTAGTACCTGTAAACCCAAACCTCAGTGTGCATCAGCTTTTGGGTTCTGTTAGGAATGCTCACAACTTGTGTTGTTTCACACTAGAGGAGGTATTTGCACCACGCTAAAGGCTCTGGAGTCCCTCGCCTCACTGGTCACACACTGCTAATTCCAGTTCTCATGAGTGCTCTGGGGGCACAGAGTCCCTTCCAGGGCTGCTCCAGTTTCCCCCCAGTGCAGCTCCATTACCACATTGCTCTTTGCCATTAACTGCATAATCTGGGAAATTATTTTCTTTATGGCACCAACACACTGGCACCTCCTGCCTCCCAGCATGGCTCTGTCAATTTGTTCAGGAGATAAGTGTTCCTTTGACTACAGTTTGTGCTTTCACATTCCCAGGCTTTTTTTCCCTGCCTGCCCTCGTCAGTGTGCCAGGGGTTAATGGTCAGTGAAGATGGAAACCGAGTTCAAGCACACAATTACTTGCCTTGAAACTGCTCCATGACCTCTGTTTGCTGCTCCCCTCCCAGTCACTGCCTGCCCTCTTACCTCTCTGCCTCTGGCTGGGGCCCAAACCACTTAAATGCCATTAGTGGCTGTGCTGAGCAAGCTTTTGGCAGGAGACTTTTAAAATAACTGCCCAGAGCTTGAGCTTGTTAAACACTCCTGACAGACTGTCCTGTAGTTCAGCATAAATATTGTGCAGATTATTTCAACTAATATCTTTCCGTACTTCCTCTTGGATCAGGCTTTAAAAGGAGCCCAGTTAGTAAAGCCTGGCACACAGTGGTTGGTTTAGGGCTGTGTCCCAGTCTAAGGAAGGAGTTCTCCACGTTCCTTGCCCTTCAGGGCAAATCTCAGCACAGCCAGGACAGGCTTTGTGTGACTGTAGCCTCTGTTCACTCTCTAAATCAGCCTTGCAGCTCACTCTGATAAATCTGTGAGGTTCCCAAATACTCAGACAAATTGTTGCAGCAGGATCTGATCCACACTCAAAAGCTACCTGAGCAAGAATACCCTCATTTGGGTTTTTTTTCTCATCTTGCTCTTAAACTCGAGCTGAGCTTTGGATGAGCAGCTGAGCTGGGATTAACTCATTAAACATTAACTGCATCAACTGCACAAGACACACAGTTCCAGGCTCTGGTGCCCTCTGCTGCAGGATAATCCTTTCCCTCTTCCTTCAGGAAGAATATGCAGCTGAAGGCCTGCAGTGGTCATTCATAAACTACCAGGATAACCAGAACTGCCTTGATCTCTTAGAGGGAAACCCTCTCAGCATTTTTTCCTTGCTGAACGAGGTAAGTGTGATCTGAACCCTGAACTTTTTTGGCCTAGTTTCCTGCCTTTGTCCCACAACACCAAAGAAAATATGAACAGAAAACTTGTCAGATATACAATTTCTGCAGAGCTCTGTTTTCAGAATAATCATGACACTGCTTCCTCGTGTTCTGAGTATCTTTTTCCCTCTGATCCTGGATGTTCTGATTCAAATACAAAGCCTCAGTTACTTCCCATCCTCCCCACCCCCCCAATATTCCAGGGCTGGCATGCTGTAAAAGCAAAAAGGCTTTTAAAGATTTTAAATTGAAGTGGTTCATCTTTTAGAGTCAGTTCTTTGTGACAAATCCTGTCTCGTTTGCAGGAGTGTCGCCTGAACAGACCCTCCAACACCGCCCTGTTCCAGACTCGGATTGAGAAAGCCTTGTCCAGTAATCAGTGTTTAAGTCGAGACAGGTTTAGTAAGAAGCCCAACTTCATCATCTCACATTATGCTGGCAAAGTCTGCTACCAGCTGGCAGCAATGGTGGAGAAAAATAAGGTAGGTGTTTTCAGAGAGACCAAATCAAAGCACCACTAACAAGTCTATTCAGGGGTGTGTGCTGGACGTACATACCTTGCTCCAAATAAATCCTTCAGGCCATGTAAAGCTGGGTAATGTTCTTGCTCTGGTTTTCAGTCCATCACTGGCACAAACAATTCCTTTGTTAGACCTTTCAGCTGAGGATTAAGTGGACCATCACCAAATCAGGGCCTCTCCCATTCCTGGGGATGCAGAACTGTTAATGGCATCAGGGCATTTTTATAACCATAAATAGAGTGCTTCATTTCCCCTAAAAAAAATCTGGTGAGTTTATGAGAAACAAGAGCATGGACTTTACTGGAAATTCTGGAAGTATTCAAATTTTAGCCTCATTGTGCCATCAGGGAATAAGTAAAATAGGTGATGCAATGAAACACCATCTCTTAATTAAAAGGAATATTTCTAATAGACTTTCTAATGTTTGCTGCAGACTGTCCTTTTAAACCAGTGCTAAGCTTCTGGCTCACTCAAACTGAATAACAAGAACAATGGAGGGAGCAGTCACACATTTGATTGGATCTGCTAAATATTCAGGCAAACATTGTTTTCTGTTCCCAAATCTGACTATGAATGAATGGACACGGTCAGATTCGGAACTGCAGCTGTGGTGAAATCAAAGCTGGCATCAGAAATACTGTTCCATCTATTTGTGTGGAATTTTCAGTTATTTGCAGAGGTGGCAGTGTCTGCCCAAGTCCAGATTCTAACACATCATGTCTGTGTTTGCAGGATGCTGTTCCACCAGAGCTGGTCCATGTTTTGCAGAACTCTAAGGACTCTCTGCTTCAAAAATTATTTCCTATGACAGAAAACAACCAGAATAACATCAAAACCCAGAACAGAGCACCTGTTGTTACAGTGGTGTCCAAGTTCAAGGTACATCCTCTTCAGCTTCCTGCTTTCCACAGCTGCCTTCGTGACTAGATGAGAAAACAGGAGCTGGATGAAGATCAGTAAATGATGTAAAAATGAAACAGCTGTAAAACAGAAACAGCTTCAGACTCCTGATATTGTCTGGGTCTTAACTCCCTCTGATTTTACCTTTAACAGTTGGGCACCTGCCTTTTTGAGGCTGCTTCTTACCTGTTCCTCTTGAGGGGTTGGTGTCAATGCATGGCCCTGCTATAATTTTGGAAACTTTCTGAATTTACCATCAACAACTTGATGAAAGCATCCATAGAGTGGATTTTTTTTTGCTCAAGTTGTCCCTGTAGAATTGCTCTGAGTCTGTAAAGCCATCCTTGCAAAAAAACCAGCTCCCTGGGTTTGACAGAAGACCCCTGATGAGCTGAGCTCCCTGTGGAGGAGTTGTCCCTGATCCCTCCTGTGTCTGTTTTGTGCAGAGCTCCCTGGAACATCTCATGCAGATTTTGAACAGGACCACACCGCACTACATCCGCTGCATCAAACCCAATGCTGACTGCAAGGCCAGGACTTTTAAAAGAGAAGAGGTAACTTTTCCAAAGCCTTTCCTCACTGAGAAGCTTCCTGGAGACGTTGTGGGGCCTTTGCATTGCAAAGCTCCTCTCACAGCACATTTTGAAATAGCTGCTTCTCCTTTGAGGCTGCAGAGAAAAACCTCCCTTCAGACTCACTGATGGTGCTTGTCCAGAACAGAGCCTGTGAGCACAGCAGCTCTTCCAGGTGCAACTTATGTGTTGCTGTAGGAGAAGTTCTCTTCCCAGAGCACTCCTGGGTTATTTGGGGTGCTGCCCTCCCAGCCCTCAAACAGATGAGGGTGATCTGAGTGCTCAGCAGCCCTGGGCACACAGGGATCTCCCAAACAAAGCTTTGCTTGCTCCTGGAGTGCAGGACAAGTTGGATGAGACCAGCTGAGGACTTTGGGAGCAGAGCTGTAACTAGAGACCCTCATCTGATGGGAAAACAAGCAGCTGGAGTGTTGCTGCCTTGGCTTTAAACACTCATAGAATTTGCTGAGTGCACAACAGTGTTAAAATAATAAGGAGAAAATAGTATTAAAATACCCCCCACTGGCTTTTCACCTGCTGCTGCATTAGGTCAGTCAGGGTGTGGATACAAGAGAGGAGCAGCTCCCACAGAGTGTCACCTAAACCATCCCAATTTATGCCTCAGGTTCTCAGCCAGCTTCAGGCATGTGGAATAGTTGAAGCCATCACCATCAGTGCAGCAGGATTCCCTGTCAGGTGAGTCCAGACTTCTTGAGCATAACCCACTTCTGCAGCAATTAGTGGCATATTAGTTATTCAGAAGAGCTTATAAGCAGGAAACCCAAATATTTTGCACTTTGTTTTTGGCCTCGAAACTACTGATGCTTTCAAAGCTGTCTGAGAGCTCACTGTACCTTTCCAGCCTGAGAAGCTGGGGAAGAGATGTTCTGATGTGGACTATTATGTACTAAAATTTTTCTAACTGAACGTGGCTTCACAGCAACATTTTTTGCAATTAAAATTAAATCACAAAAGGCATTTATCTAAGTGTAGACATCTCAGAGCTCAGCATCCCATCACAGCCTTGCTGGGCTTTCTTGACCACTTTTAGAGGGTGCAGAGCAAGGCCTGAGATAGTCACAGCTCAGCACTGAGGGGGTGAAGCTCATCATTGTCATATCCAAGCACAATTCCTGCCCAGTCTTTGCTACAGGCACCACTGGGAGTTTGTACTTTCTTGCCTGTTGGTGACTCTTTAGGCATCAGTGTTTGCATTCCCTGCACTGGATCTCTGAAGCCATTCTGCAGTTTTTACCCCCAAAGGATAAGTTCTTTGCCACAGTGGTGACTCTTCCCCGGAATTCACTGTGTTTGTCTGCCAGGATCCCCTTCCAACGTTTCACTGAGCGCTACGAAATGCTGAGAAAGTCCTGTGGGCCCAGTAAAAGAAGAGTGTGTGATAAAAGCAACTCTCACACTGCTGAGGAAAAAGGTATGTTTGTGCAGATAATCCCTCTGCCATCAAGTAAAGTTACCACTGCACCCATTTGATATTGCATAGGTCAGGTGATTACTGTGTTCAGCACGAGGGACACCTCTGTTCTCAGAATACTTCTCTAATCTGTCACCAGCTGGAGTTTCTAATTTGCCTAATGCTTACAGCAGGCTCTTTTTAAAATCTTTCCTCTTACTGCTAGTTTTCTGTGTTCCTCCTGGCTGGAACAATTACAGTTACAGTGGTGTCTGGGGTTCCCCCCACCCAATATCATTTGATTTAGAGTTGGTTCTTTAGCAGACTTGAAAAACCTCTTACCTTTTGGCTCATGTTCCTTCTCCTTCCTTTCTTTTTTCCCCCACTTTGCTTCCTTGCTGAATCACTGACCTTCCAGCTTACCTGGATTCTGCTGCTTCTTCCACCTTTTGCAAACTTCTCTTTTTCTAAGCAAGAGCGAGGATGGACTTTAAAAAACACAACCCACTGTACAAGGTAATGCCTTTGCTGTGAACCCCTAAAAGGAGGAGCTCATCAGGAGGTTACATTTAATACTGAAGGTTCCTGCAACCCCCTTCCCTCTCCCAAATTAATCCCATCTTCACCCAGTGGGTCTGTTCCATAACCAGCAGGAAGCAGGACCAGTAAGTACCAGCCTGTTCAGATAAGTAAAATGTCTGGATATCCATTCACCGGCTGGAAATGGAGTGGAGGAAGGAAGTACAGGCTGGAAAATTACTTACACACTGTATCTTTCCCCCTCAATTACAAACCCATTAGCTGCAAAGCCTCTGTGTGATAGGTTCTTAGTCCTTTTTATCTTTAGGGGGTAATAAGCTGCAAACAAAGCAAAACAAATTTCCCAAACACGGGGATAAGCTTTTGGTTCCCTTATCAGCCCGGCCCCATGAACACCATCACAGGCACCAGATGTCTTCCTGTAGGCAAGAATTGCTCCTATTTGTTTTCAGTACCTTAAAATGCTCTCATCTCCTTAGAAATATTTATAGCAGAAAAGCAAACAGTATCCAGGATGGAATGATACAAAGCCCATTGCAGGAACTCCCGCAGCATTGCCTTGAACAACACAATCTCTTTCAAGGACAGCTCTGAATTACGTCTGAATTTGCAGTTAGGATTCATCTGGCCAACCTCTTTGTCTCATGATGTAAAAAGCTATGCACTGTGTCCCACAAATGGTTTTAATAACCTCTAATTGCTGCAATAAAGTCCTGCTCAGTACCTGACCCCATAGCTGCTTCCAATGCCCTGGGAAGGCTGGAGACCTGTGCACAAGTTGTCTCCCCCTCCTGCACCTTTCAGTACATTAAGGCTGAGTCCAATTCCTTGCTTTTTGTTCTTTGTTCCCAGTTAAAACACCCCCCACACTGGTTGTCTGGTTGCTGGCACCTGGTGAAATCTGTGCTGTCCCATTTTACCCAAACCCCAGTGAGGTTGAGTGCTCTCAGCCATCACCTCCTCCCCTCTTGCTGGAGGTCTTCCCCCTCTAGATGGCCAAGAAATCTCAGTGTGAAGACCATTCCTTGGACCTGATTTCCAAGTCTTGTGACTCCTCCTCCTCAATGCTTCGTTTCCAGGCGAGACTCCAGTGATGGATGAAGACAAAGCATCACGTTCTGCTGTTCTTGAGATCCTGCAGAACGTTGTTATGGGACAAACCACTGCTGAGCAAACAGGGAGTGGAGCAGGAACCCCCTCAGTGTACTGTGGGAAGACCAAAGTATTCCTGGCCAGTTCTGTAGTAAGTTGGCTGCCAATTCTGGAGCTCACCCTCCCAATGGGGATTCTGGCACAGGTATCACCATGGTGGGGGCAGTGCTCCTGCCAAGCCAGTGTGACCAGAATTGGGCATTTTCCTTCAGATTACTCAACTCAGTCAGGCATCCATCAGAGCCCAGCCCTCAGAAGCACTTTGTTTAATGGCCTCTGTGGAGCCAAGGGACAAGGAGCTGCACTTGTGTCTAGAACTGTCAGGATTCTCCCAATTCCAGGAAAGATTACAGCTTTCCTTACCTTCAGCTGACAGATTTGGCTACTCCAACTGCCCCACACAGCTTCCTTGGGGAAGAAGATGAAGGAGACAGAGGTACCTTTGCCAAGCTTGCAGGATGCAGCCATAGAACCCCCTTCAGTGGAGCTGGTTTTAAGCCAGTTGCTACTGTGACCCCCCAACTACTTACATTTTTGTCTCCATATTATCTAATAAGCACTAATGGAGTGCTGTCACTTCCCACACCTAATCCAGCAGTCACAGGACACTGGAATGAGGATGTGGCTATCTGACAAACACCAAGAGGCTGCAGAAAAGGGAAGAGTTGAGAGCAGAACTCTGCCCTGAGTACTAACTCCAGGCTCCTGTCCCCACTGCAGCTGGAGCTACTGGAAGCCAGAAGAGCAGAGGTGTTAAATGAGAAAGCATTTTGCATTCAGTGTTGCTGGAGGAGGTTTAAGCAGAAGAAGTTTGCCAAGGAAAAACGGTCTGCAACTGTCATCCAAGCAGGTAACTCCACAAAAATGTGGCTGGAACAACAGAACAAGGAACATTTCCAGTTATATTGGGGGATTAAAGTGGCAGGGGCGGTGAAGTGCCACCTCTTACACTGTGTGCCAGAGCTCCTGAGATTGTTTGTACTCAGCTTTGTTTCCACTGAATCCTCAGCTGTCCGTTCCTGGCTGGCCAGGAGTCGGTTCCGAAGGACGCGCGGGGCTGCCAAAGTCATCCAACGTGGCTGGAGGAGATGGAAGGTGAGGGTGTGGGGACAGGGAAGCACAGAACTCAGTCACTGAGGCTTTTTTTTTTTTAGCAGGAATCTCCCTCTTAGTAGTTACTGCTCTGCCTCAACTAACTACAAAAGCAGCACTGTCACTGCTCCATTAAACTCTTCTCCAGCTGAAGAGCAGAGGATGCCAGTCCTGCTTCTATTCTGCAGCATAAACCCATTCCTTACCTTCATGGGAATGCCCCAAAGGGCCTGCTGCCCTTTCAGATTCCCTCCTTTTCAGACTCTTTAAATTCTGCTCAAGGTGTCTGAGAACCTCGCTGAATATTGTTCCTTATCTTCACCAGGCAAAAATGGCCGCGTTGGCAGCGGCAGAACTGGATGAGGGGGAAGGGAAGGAGTTCCCAGCTCCTGGAGCCACGGTGATCCCGGCCAAACTGCCTTGTTCCTTGGACACAGTGTGGCCTGGGCAGGCCATTGTCCAGTTCTGGCCCCTGGGCCTTGTCCTGGCTGCTGCCCCCGTCACGGCCACGGGGCCCCGCAGGGACCTGGCGCTGCTGGGCTGGCTCAGGGGGCTCCAGGAGAGCGGCTGCTCCAGGCTGGAGAGCCCTTCCCTGGGCTGTGGCATCGCTTCCATCAGAGCTCTCCCACAGGTAACCACCTCACAGACCCCAGTCAGCACAGGGAGGGTGCCAGGAGTTCCCAGGAGTTCAGGAATAGTCCTGGATACCATTTCCTACCAACAAGCCGCAGCCACTGGCTGCCCTCAGAAACTGCACCTTGTTACAAATCACTTTGGTGGTTTTTTTGGAAACTTTTCTGAGGTTGCATAAAATTCTGGGTGCAAGAACCGGTCACAGTTACTGCAGGTAGGCAGAAGCAGTAGCAAGTTCAGCACTAAACACTCCAATCTCCAGAGTTTAAGCTAATTCCAGTTCAAATTACAGTATTGGTACTCAGTTCTCTTAAATCCATTTGTACTAAAACTCCTCTGGAGGTCCTCTTCTATCCTCACAGTCACTAGTTGCTCAGAGACACAGCATGAACAACAAAATCACCTCAGAAGCTGGCCAGCCCCCCAGCTGACCTCTCCACCTCTTTTCCTTGCAGGGCTCTGTCAGGTTCCACTGCAGGAAGTCCCCCCTGCACTATTCCAACGTCAGCCCCCACAGGGATGCCTGTTCCATCACGGGATTCAACCAGATTCTGCTGGACAGAAAGGAACTCCTGCCCACATAGGCCTGGCCCCTGCACACCTCTGCCTTCAGGGAAGGGCTCTCTGCAAGCTGCTGCTTTCAAATCACTCAATTGCCACATCTGCTGCTACCTCAGAGCTTCCACCTCGATGCCTTGTACGTAAAATACAATGTAATGTAATATAGGTCAAATTTGGGGGGTTTGGGGGCCATTCCTCCACACAGGCACATGTTATAGGACATATCAGCACTATGAGAACAATCAACTAAACCAGATCAGGTGTTCTAAGCAATAAATACTTGAACTGAACGCTGCTGGCACTACCTGGAGAAGCAAGAGGCTGGTCATGAGAGAGCAAATAATGCAAATATTCCTGATTCCTGCTGGGTTCTCAGAGGTACAACCCTCCTGACTGACCACCAGTGTTCCCCAACACTGGCACACTTCTGACTGACCGAGGGAGGGAGGAGCAGCCAACATAACACTAAGGGCAGACATCTCAGGGAAAAGCAAGACTGGGCTCTTGCTTTTTTCTCTCTATGACCAAAATATATGAGCTCTCACAGCTGCAGGCGTTTCCAGAGCTCCCCAAACAGCACTGCCCTGCCCACGGTCTCATCAGAGGTGCTCTGTACCGTCCTTTTCTTGCTCATGGGTCTCGAAAATGTTCAGCTCCTCCGTGTATGTCATTTTAAATAAACTGCTCAGCGCCTTGTCAAGGTGTCCGACCGTCCCAAACAACGAACAAAAACGTTTCAGAGTATTTGTCGATTAAAATAAATGCAAATATATTTAATATTGTCACTGTGAAGTAACATTTGCCACGGTTGCCAATATTTCTGTACCAACACAAAGCAGGTCTGCAGAGTGTCAGGTTCAACCCCCAGTCTCTAAAAATCTCTGTCTACTCCGAATTGAAATCAGAGCACCGAAATCCAGGGGCAAAGTGACCAGACCCTGAGGAAAGACACAGAATGGAGCAGCTCTGCAGCACAGAACCTCAAGGAAAGGAAAACGTGCTCACTCGGGGAGGATGTTCTCCTTCTCGGGAGGCTCCACAATCCTCAGGCAGCAATCTGCAAACTCCACAAACAGGGGCTCCTGCATGAACCTCCTCATGAGGGAGCTTTTGTCTTCTGCCTGGTCGATGGTGAGGAGCAGCTGCCGGAGGTGTGGGTTCAGCAGCAAAGCCCTCAGTTCTTCTGATTCCCCTTTAAAAAGGAAAAAAAAGATAAATTGGAGTAATCTCAAACGGTTACAAACGAAGTTAAGACCTTCCTTGTTTTGCAAATAAACTTTCAAAGAGACTGGTGAAAGGCCAAATAACTGATATTTAAGTCTTTAAGGCCTTGCAACAAGCTGCACGACTGGGAGCAGCTCCAAGCAGAACTCCTGGGAATGGGGAGTATTTCTACTAAAGCCCCACCATCCCCACACCCGGACTGACTCCCGAATTCCCAAACTCACCTAAAAGCTTGAGTTTCTGCAGCGGGACGCGGTCCTGCTCATCCTCCTCGCCCAGGATGTCCTCCAGGGACCAGGGGCCGTGTGCGGGGCTCGGCGGGGCCGCGGGGGGACCCTGCTCCCTGCCCCGCTCCCTGTCCCGTTCCTGGCTGGAATGCGGCGCGCAGCGCTCTGCGGACACACAGCGGGTCAGCCCCAGGGCAGCCCCGGGGCAGCCCCGGCCCCGCCCGGCCCCTCCCGGCCCGTACTCACCGCGGTGGGTCCGGCAGCACCGCACGGAACAGCTGCGGGAGAGACAACGGAGCGTGAGGGGCTGGGGGGGGCCCCGCACCGGCACAGAGCCCGCCGCGCCCTCACCGCGCCCTCAGACCCGCCGGGCCCTGCCCCCCGTGCCCCCCTCGCTCACTACGAGGCGGCACAGCGCGGACAGCGGTCCCGGCCCGTGTCCCGCTCCCCCGGCCCTGTCCCCTCGCTCACTATGTGCTGGCACAGCGCGG